CTGTTCCGATTGCGTCTTGTTCGTGGAGCCACCATTGGAGCACACCTCAATAAATTCTTTTTCACTGTCACTAAGTTTATGCCCTGCGTTTAACTATAAGGCAATGTAAATACCTACTATACTATGACCGGTAGTGGTCATGAATCGCCCCGAATAGAACAACACAGGTTAGAAAACAGAATAGAACAAACATGAAAATTATATACTGAGAAAAAGAACACGCACAGAATGTTTTAATACAGAACAAAATATTAGCACTCTAGCGTGTCCATAAAATGAACACATTGAAGTAGACTTCTGTGTTATATTGCCACACATGCCCCTTTTTATATTGTCGCAGTGCAACGCGAACAAAAGATGACAGCAGCTTACGGCAGCGAAAAGAGCATATTCAGGATCAGCTGTACAGCAGGATGCCTGCTTCGTTGTCGTCCCGAAAAACCACCTGACCCACTAGCTGGAATCTACAAAACATTCCTATCATCGTTCTTTTTCATATTAACTTGTGTCACTTGCCCCTCCTTATAAGAGCATCGCCCCGATGCTAATGCAGACGCACAGTATTTTTTTAATGTGCAGTCAGTCACTCACGTACGGCTTCATACGCACTACATGAACAAGTTCAGGCTGGTGCTGGCGACGCCTCGGGCATTGGGGACTGTTGGAGACAACCTCGTAGGTGACGTCACTTAGCTGGCGCGATACTCGGTATGGCCCGAAATATCGCCTTAGCAGCTTCTCAGACAGTCCACGTTTTCGTACGGGTGTCCAAACCCACACTCTGCCACCGATTTTGTACGCTGCAGTTCTATGGCGAGCATTGTAGCGGCCTGCATCGTAGTCTTGTCGCTGGTGGATCCGTAAGCGGGCGAGCTGTCTAGCTTCTTCCGCGCGTTCAGTGAACACGTCAGCGCCTGTGTCGGTAGCGTCCCATTCATGTTGCAACATCGCATCCAGCATAGTCCGTACCTCCCGTCCGTGAACCAAGCAGAATGGAGTCATGCGAGTCGTCTCTTGTTTAGCCGTATTGTATGCGAACGTGATATAGGGTAAAATCTCTTCCCAATTCTTATGTTGGACGTCCACGTACATCGACAGCATGTCTTCAATCGTCTTGTTGAGGCGCTCCGTTAGTCCATTTGTTTGCGGGTGGTACGCAGTGGTCTTACGGTGAGTCGTTCCACTAAGCATCAGGACGTGGTCTAAAATAGCTGCCGTTAATGCTGTTCCGCGGTCCGTGATCACGACAGTCGGAGCACCATGGCGTAGCACAATATTTTCTATGAAAAATCTCTCCACTTCCACTGCGGTGCTCTTTTGAATAGCTTTTGTTTCGGCATACCTGGTTAGGTAGTCTGTTGCGACTATAACCCAGCGATTCCCTGCAGTAGAAGTAGGAAGGGGTCCCAAAATATCCATTCCTATCTGTTCAAACGGTGTACGTGGAACCTGTACTGGTTGCAGCTGACCGGCGGGTCCCTTTGGAGGTGACTTGCGGCGCTGGCAATCGATGCAAGTGTGAACGTGGTGCTTGACAGCTGTTGTGAGTCGTGGCCAGTAATATCCCTGCTGTACTCTTGCCAATGTGCGAGTGTAGCCAAAATGGCCAGACGTCGGCTCATTGTCACATGCTTGGGAGCACTTCAGTTCGAAGAGGTGCAGGAATAACGAGCAAATAGGGAGCTCCGATAGACGAAAAGTTTCTCTTGTAGAGGACGCCTTTGCGTAAGCAAAACGACGATAATGTCCTTGCAAAGACTCTAGGTGCTTTCGAAGAACGTCCGTCCACGTAATTAATAAAATCAAGCAATTCAGCGTCACTTCGTTGTTGTTGGGCAATCGTGGACGCGTCGAGAACACCAAGGAAGGCCATATCGTCGTCGTCAGAAAGAGAAGCTGACTGTACTGGTGATCGAGACAGGCAGTTGGCGTCCGTATGGCGCTTCCCAGACTTGTGTATGACCGTCATATCAAACTCTTGTAACTTCAGACTCCAGCGTGCTAATCGGCCGGTTGGATCTCTTAAATTAGTCAACCAACAGAGGGAATGATGGTCACTTATAACTTTGAAAGGGCGGCCATACAAGTACGGGCGAAATTTCATAACTGCCCAGACCACCGCGAGGCATTCTTTCTCAGTTGTTGAATAATTGACCTCAGCGCGTGTTAGCGTCCTGCTTGCGTAGGCGATCACTCGTTCCGTGTCTTCATGCCACTGCACAAGCACAGCTCCGAGGCCTACATTGCTTGCATCAGTGTGAAGCATTGTTGGCGCTTGTTCGTCGAAGTGAGCAAGCACTGGGGGTGTTTGAAGACGCTGGCGGAGGTCATTAAACGCTGCTTGCTGTTCTTGATTCCACTCAAAGGTGGCGTCGTCTCTAGTGAGGCGAGTTAACGGCGACGCAATCCGTGCAAAGTCGGCGATGAACCGGCGATAGTAGGCGCATAGGCCCAGAAAGCGCCTGACAGCTTTCCTATCGGACGGTACTGGGAGCTGTGCCACAGCCGCAAGTTTTTTGGGATCAGGCCGAACGCCGGTACAGCTGACGACATGACCAAGAAACAGCAGTTCTTCAAAACAAAAGTGGCATTTCTCTGGTTTTAATGTGAGGCCTGCGGAGCGTATGGCTCGTAAAACAACTTCTAGCCTCTTGAGATGCTCTTCAAAAGTTGGGGAAAACACTATGACGTCGTCTAGATAAACTAAACAGGTCTTCCATTTTAACCCTGAAAGTACAGTGTCCATGAGCCTTTGAAAAGTAGCGGGCGCTGAGCACAGACCGAAGGGTAGAACTTTAAATTCATATAAACCATCCGGCGTCACAAAAGCGGTTTTTTCCCGATCTCTTGGGTCTACCTCGATCTGCCAATATCCACTTGTGAGGTCCATTGAAGAAAAGTAGCGAGCGTTCCGAAGCCTATCGAGGGAGTCATCAATACGTGGAAGCGCATACACATCTTTTTTAGTCACTTGATTCAGCTTCCTCTAATCCACGCAAAAACGCAGGGTACCGTCCTTTTTCTTAACTAATACTACAGGCGATGCCCACGGGCTCTGTGATGGCTGAATCACATCATCTTCAAGCATTTTAGCGACTTGTTGCTGTATCACTTCCCGTTCCTTTGGAGCCACACGATAAGGATTGTAGTGCCCACCTGAGGAGAAACCCTGTACGACCGTCTTCTTTACAAGTAAGATGAATTAACATAAAAGTAGTGTCCCGTGGTCGTGTTGATTCTTGTGGAGAGCAGCTCGAATGGGGTAAATAATAAAGGCCAGGCGTTTTGAAAGCTGCCCTAGAATTTCAAGCAGAGTACTATATAAGCAACCAAGCGTAGAAGAAGGTTATTTTGACCGTCTTTCGTCTCGAAATGCTGAAATATTTGATCCCACACACACTGAATAAATTCAATTTTTCATTGCAGCGATTGCGCCTTCTTTCGTGACAGGACATGTGCAGTCTATTTTTAGTTACATGATGCATGAAAAAAAGATTGTTTTTGTATTTTGGTTAGTCCTACTCTTGTATTTCTTTAAAGAATGCAATCTTGCATACATGTACTAAATATTTACTATTGTACCACTTTCAGGTATGTAATTGTGTCTTTACCCTTTTGGTTTACGTCATGAATGCTGTCATTTTTTCTGCATTGTTGTGTTGCGATGTGGAGCTAGTCGAGCTACGTTTGTATCGCAAAATTTTTCCCACTTTCCATACCACAAGCTATATCTGTACAGAACTATGTTGTATACATAAGCTTCCTACTTCAGGCTTATTAACGCGATAGTGTTAAAGAGCTCGTTTCGCGAAAATTCCGGCATCGGCTTTGTTAGTTGTGAGCGATAAATCATCTTATGCATAACCGAAAAATTGAGAATGAGGCGAATTATATAAAGAATTATTTTAAGAAAATCCTGGATCAGAGTGTGGACCGAGCCAGAGTCGTCTGAGTTGAACCTGGGTCATTTGCATGACAAGCGGTTGTTTTACCACACAGCCACAGCTCTGATTGTAAAAACAGTGAAAAGAACTTCTTTTGCTTGGAAGTGCAGTGAAAGTAGCTTTCATGCTTCACAATGCAACATGAAATATTGCAGTAATAAAGGGTAGTACAAGCGTCTATTGCCAACGGACGTCAGTACATGTAATTATTATAATGACTCCGGAGTTGACAGCTGGTACACCACTACAAAAGGCGCACACTCTACTGTGCCTATTTCCTTGAAGCCATGTAGTAAGTGCATAGCAAATTCGAAAAGATTTTATACACTAAGTTTTTGAAGTACGCACGGCGAACAAAATGTCATTATCACGTTGGAACCCTCGAATTGAAAGGCGAAGTTTTTGGGTCCCCTAAAATTTTTGTTACTGTCTTGGTAAAGAGATGGTGGTCGTACTCTGTGCCATACCGCAAGCTGCAGAGGTAACTTAGGGAGCCACACGGATGGTTAGCAGGTCATGTGGTGCATGGGTCACCTGGTAAGTGCAATATCATATAAACGTTTCGTACACACTAATGTTAAGAAACTGCAAGTAATATTCTCTAAGTTCTCGGCTTAACTGTCCTTCTATGTTATTAGTTTTGTAGAAGAGAGAAAAACAAGCCTCTCAAATATTTTGTCAACTTTCGTGCTTGTGCACGTGTGTGCCGCCAATGAAACGAAATTATGTTAGCGCCAGGGCTGCCATCGTCCTCGTTTATGGGTTTTTGCTTTTTGCTTTGTCCTGTACGCCGCAAAAGAAACGTCCTAAGTAGCCCAAGAAGTACGTGAAACAATTTCACTGCTCACCGAGTGGGAATATTCTTCTAGAGTGATACTCCTGGGTCCTTGCCACCTTGAAGAAGCCTCTGGTGGAAGCCGTTCTGATGTCAGGCAACGCTAACGATGTACACGGCTGGAAACGCCAAATGATTGTCTCTTCAGCGAATTACCTGTTCGGTGAAACTGAATGAAAAAAGGTTTGGAAAAGGAGGGAAAACATGGAATAACAGCTTACTTGGCATGGCGAGCACCATCTTGCGGTTCTTTCGAGGAAGACGCTCCGAGGCAGGCGTCATTCTTGAGCTCCGGGGTGCGCGACGATGCCTGGGAGAAGCGGACAGGGAAGGCTACGAAAATAGCTCGGAGGAGGATGAAAAATAAACACATGCCACAGCAGTCAAGTGAAACGTGAGATACCGAGCAGCGAAGCTTCTTTTTTTTTCGCTCACGGGAATGCACCGTCCTAAGGCAACTTACTGGACCTGCCTGGAGTTGGTTAGTTAACCTTGGGAAAAATAATAACGTGGTGAAATAAGGGTACTCGGTATCAAAGAATGGAAGCATAAATGTTTATCTGACCCCATAGTTCCATAGTTTTTTTTATGTTGTGATATATATATATATATATATATATATATATATATATATATATATATGAATATATATATATATATATATATATATATATATGTATATATATATATATATCTTTATAAATATATATATATATATATATATATATATATATATATATAAATATATATATATATATTTATTTATTATATATATACACGTGCTACGAAAAGTTTTTTACTCGGAAGAACTGAGCCAGCGGGAATGGATGAATGAATAATTTTATTATGGTCCTTCGGTGCGTACACAGTAGATCGCTAGCGCGAAGCGGGCGGGGAGACGCTCAGTAAACTTTTAAGATGGCTGACTCCCTAACAACAACTAGCCAGAGCACGCGCTGCCGCAGAACGCCTTCGTCCATTCTAGCGGGCGGCCATGGCCAGCGCTCGCCATACCTAGTGGGCAAGTGGCATTATTCCCCCTCTGAAAAAAAAAAAAAAGGTGGGAACTGCTCCGATGCTCTGGAAGTACAAAAGCAAAGTCGGGGCAAACTAGCAGACAATACATGCATACACAAAAACAAAGCAATAAGGTTCCTGCGCAGTCGCACTACTTCGTGAAATACGGCTTCAGTCGCACCACGTGCACAATCTACGAGGGGTGCCTTCGACGCCGTGGCGAGAAGGCCCCGTCAGGGACTATCTCGTAGTTCACATCGCTCTCGCGTCGCAACACTTTGTAGGTTGCAAAGTAGCGACTGAGCTGTTTTTCAGACAATCTCTGGCGTCGGACTGGAGTCCACACCCAAACTTGATCGCCAGGATGGTAGCCAACTGGTGAGGGTTTTAGAGGCATGCGTTTGTGCTCTGTTTGGTGTGTAATATGTAGGTGTGCTGACTGGCGCTCTTGTTCGGCGTTCTGGGTAAGCTGCAAAGCGTCAGGCGTGATCAAAGCGTCCCAGTTGTGTGGAAGCATCGCATCCAGCGTGGTCTGTACTACACGCCGATAGACCAGACGGAAAGGCGTGAATCGCGTAGTTTCCTGGAAGGCAATTTTGTAGGCGAATGTGACTTACGGTAGCACCTGGTCGCAGGGCTTATGCAGGACATCTACATACATGAATAACACGTCAGCGATGGTTTTGTTACGTCGCTCTGTAAAGCCGTTGGTCTGCAGATGATACGTTGGTGTTGCGATGGCTCGTGTAGGTGAGCTTGAATACGTTATGAATGAGCTGGGCCGTAAATGAATGAATGAATGATCTTTATTGCACTCATATCTTATACAAAATAAGCCCAAACTGTATGGTCCCATAGCCAAAGGCTAGTGCGGGTCCCATTGAAAGTATACATAAGTGAAACTGTAATAGTTCTAATTAAAAATAAACAGAAATAAACAATTCAAATTTGGTATACAATAAGTAATGTTTACCTGCTAACAACAGTCACTTGAATTCGATTGAACATAGAAAAAAGGGAAACTACATAACTTGTAGTAAACACAAATATTTGGTGATTAGTGGCGTCCAGAACTGAAGAATGACACTTGTAGTTGCAATATCAATAGTAGTTCTCTTATATGGCTTAATATACATAACAAGGGTATTGAAACATCTTTCAAAGAAAACACTAAACACTTAAAGGGCAATATATATACAAAATTAAAAATTACAACCTAAAGTATCAGTCAACTCAAGCACAGAAAATTATTTCAAGGTAGTACTTTTTCAATGATCTGGAAAAGTTCTGGGTATTGTTTATTCATTCATTTCATTCATTTTTATTATACTGTCAGCTTCATTAGGGCTATAACAGGGGTGGAAAGAAAACCAATATACATACAAAAAGTAGGTACTCCCTATACAACTTCTAATATACATAACAATGAATGACAAGAAATTGCCAAAGCACTCTGCTCTTGAGGACACAGAACAAGCAAAATATAACTATACATCTTTATACACGACATGTTTTAGGCCCTTCAAGAAAGAAGGTACACATTCCGATAAGACAGTGGAATTCGGCAGCCTGTTCCACTCACTGATCGCCCGCGGAAAGAAAATGAACTTAAAACAATCGTTGTGTGATCTGGGAGGAGGGATGTACATGTTATGCCGGTGCCTTGACGTTTCCCCAGTTTTATATACATATACTTCGATTTGTCTATTTTACTTCTTCTTTAATGATTAAAAAGAGTAATTTAAGTCTTTCATACTCTTTCCTTTGTTCTAGTGGTTCAAGGTGGGCCAGCTTGCAAAGCTGAGTTAAGGAGTAGCAGGGCTGGTATTCGTTAACGCGGTATGCCATTCCAAACTTTCACTCCGGTATATTGTAGTAGACGTTTGCTATAGGCGTTTTTATGGGCGGTATAGTGAAGTTGTTAAAAGTTTGTTTCCTCGTTTGGCGTCGGGGAATACACAGTAATGAAATTGGGAATGGTTCATTGTTCTTAACGACAGTGTTAATACATGTAGCTAATTTTATTTCCCGCACAAAATCAAATGGTAAGATCTTTAACCTAGAAAAAAGTGGTTTGCTATGTTCGTATTAAGGTGAGAAAGTAATCATACGTATAGCCCGTTTTTGCAGCTGTCGTGATGGCTCAAGATAAGAGGCATAAGTCGAACCCCAGGACTCTACACAGTACAGAAGGTGGCAGTTAACTAAAGCAAAATACAAAGTGCGCAAAATTGTAGTTTCAAAATATTCACGTGCTTGCAAAAGGACGTAACAACTCGAAGCTAGTTTCGAGCTGACTGCTTCTATTTGACTCTGCCAATGTAAACAGCTGTCTAGAACAACACTTAGGTAAGTAAAAGAATCAGTACATTCCAGGGAGCAATTATTGATGTAGAGTTGTATATCATGTGGAATAGGATTAGTACGGGAGTGGAATAGCATATATTTTGTTTTTTTTTGGCATTGATGGTAAGCCTGTTAGCTGTAAACCAATCGGCAAGCTTAGCTAGTTCAGTATTCATCTGTTCTTTTATGTCTGACAGATTTTTGCCGGTAATAATTAGGGCCGTGTCGTCAGCATACATAAGCATCTCGGCAGTTGTTAGTACTAGAGGCAAGTCATTTATGTATAGTAAGTAAAGTAATGAACCTAATACAGAACCTTGTGGGACACTTGTTTGAATGGACTGGAGAGAAGAAGTAATGTTACTAATAACTACCATCTGTTGCCGACCTTGAAGGTAACTCTGAAAAAAATTCAACATAGTGTTGCGAAAACCATATCTACGTATTTGTAAAGTAAGATGTCATAATCTACTGTGTCGAACGCTTTTCTGAGGTCCAGAAAAACCACTGCGGCGAATTTGTTATCTTGGAGGGCAGTATTTAAAACTTGGCTTAGTGTGAGCACTGCTGTACTTGTAGAACGCATTGGCCGGAAGCCATGTTGTTGCGGACATAACACATGATATTTGTTCAAAAAAAAGCATACGTTTCAAAATTATTTTTTTCGAAGATATTGTTAAGTACACTGAGTACAGAGATCGGGCGGTAGCAAGAAGGATCGGACCTATCTCCCTCTTTGTAAACAGGGGTGACTTTGGCTATCTTGAGTATTGATGGGTATTGACCGGGATATAATGAGTGGTTGAATAGGTTATATAATACTTATCCAAGTAAATCAATGTTCTCTTTTATAACGCGCGATGGAATCTCGTCATGACTGGGCGCTTTGCTAATTACTAGTTTACTCACAATAAGCAGAATTTCTTTAATGTCTATGTTGTTTATAACGAAGCTATTTGGTGAGGACGTTGGTTCATACAGCGTTTTGTTAGGAATAGGCAGCACTTTGGCTAACGAAGGACCAACATTTCTAAAATAAGTATTAAAGTCGTTGACAGTGTCCTCAGTGACATTGTCGGGTGGCGTTTTTTCAGCACGAGTATGCCCGATTGCTTCGTTCAATATTTGTCAAGTTTTGCGCGAGTTACTGGAAGCTTGCTCAATAAGCTTCGAATAATATTCTTTTTTACATTTACGTGACATGGCTACTGATTTGTTACGAGCAGTTTTATACTCATGTAGTAGATGAGCATTGTGCTTAACCCGTTTCCACTTATGATACCAGTACTCTTTAGCCTTAAGCGCCCCTAATAAACCTTGGGTCATCCAAGGACAGATTGGTGTTTCATATGAGCGCCTACGAATGACTTTTTTCGAGGTATGTACGGCTTCCGTAATAACATTAATTAGATTAGCAAACTCCTGGTCGACCTCATCATGATAAACCTCATTTAATCTAAAAGAGCGTAAGAAATAACGAACCTTTGAGTAATCAATTTTATAAGAAGTAACCTTCCTCTGATGATTTATTATAGGCCCTCCATCCACAGTGACAAAAGTTGGCATGTGATCAGTGACAAGCTCATTAAGAACACCTGCTGTTATGTTGTTAGGAATATTTGTGAGGACATGGTCCAGCATCGTTTCTGTTGTACTTGTTACTCGAGTAGGCACAGTGGTCAGATTGCGGAAATTATATGATTGTATAAGGTAAGGGTAGTCCTTATAACTAGCACTAAAGGCATCAATGTTTATATCCCCAAGAATAATAACCCTGGTACGACCATTCCTTGCCAGGGTAGACAGAATGCCCTCAAGGTTATCAAAAAGCAGCTAGTATCGGCGTTTGGCGGCCGATACCCCACACCAACAACAACAGAGCATTCTATCTTTACAAAAAGTGCTTCTATATATGGGAGGCTGCATGTGAATTCAG